GTTACATTATGTTCTGCTCAGATCACATTGAGCTACAGTAAATAAGATCAAATCTGCTGACTTGTTGTAAAATGAGACATTTTCCTGTTTATCTTCTGTTAATAAATCCATAACACAAACAGCTTTTCTGACATTATTTAAAACATTAGATCGATTATATAAACTGTAAACTATTAATAATAATTGGATTAATATTATTGATAATTTTAATGATTTCTACATTCGTCAGTCTTTTTTTTCTGCTCTGCTGTCAACATGTACAGTAATGGGGAAATCCAGAGTCTTAACCGTTTAGCGTTAGTCATTAGCTTCACCAGCCGATCACACAGTCACCTGGTTTCTGCACACTCCAGTTCTGTAGAACCTCCTTGGCGCAGGTTTTTCTGATAACTTCAGGATTTTAAATACTTGTGGGGGGAGAAAGTTAAAACTTACACTTCACTGGTTCTGTTTCCTCCCAACAGAAAGACTCGTCCATCAAGTTCCACGTTCTGCTGACRTCTTACGAGCTGATCACCATCGACATGGCTGCCCTGGGTTCTATAGACTGGGCGTGTCTGGTGGTGGACGAGGCCCACAGGCTGAAGAACAACCAGTCCAAGGTCAGCACATTATATTAAAAATGACCAATTAATTTACAGAAGTGGTGCAGAAGTTGCAGCACGTTTAACTTCCTGCTTTATTAATAATTAATTGTGTTGTTTTTTAGTTTTTCCGTGTGCTGAACAACTACCCTCTGCAGCACAAGCTGCTGCTGACTGGAACTCCTCTGCAGAACAACCTGGAGGAGCTTTTCCACCTKCTTAACTTCCTCACACCTGAGAGGTTCAGGTACGTCTGGGCTCTGCAGGATCAGAGGGGACAGTTCCTCCTGGTTTTTAACTTCACCCGTTTGTGTTTTTTTTTTTTCGTCTGCAGCAAACTGGAGGTTTTCCTGGAGGAGTTTGCCGACATCGCGAAAGAGGACCAGATCAAGAAGCTGCACGACATGTTGGGTCCGCACATGCTCAGGAGGTTGAAGGCCGACGTCTTCAAACACATGCCCTCCAAGACCGAGCTCATTGTCCGAGTGGAGCTCAGCCCCATGCAGAAGTGAGTGGAGGGCTGCCGCTACAAAAACAAGAACCCAACAAGATGCTAACGCTAACCCTAAACGCTTGTGTTGACAGAAAATACTACAAATTCATCTTGACGAAAAACTTTGACGCCTTGAACACAAAAGGAGGAGGAAACCAGGTTTCGCTGCTGAATGTTGTCATGGACCTGAAGAAGTGCTGCAACCACCCCTACCTCTTCCCTGGAGCTGCGATGGTACGAGCCAGACGCCAGCTTCTAGAATTCATTTAGGAGTTTTACTGCAACTCTCTGGAGTTTTGTATAAACTTTGTTTGGTCTCTTCTATCAGGAAGCTCCCAAGATGCCCAACGGCATGTACGATGGGAACGCTCTTACGAAGGCTTCTGGRAAACTGCTGTTGCTGCAGAAGATGATGAGGAAGCTGAAGGAGGGAGGACACCGAGTGCTGATTTTCTCTCAGGTCAGGAACCTTATTGGAAACCGTTTAAAGCTACGTTTAACTCCTTTTCTTTCTTTATTTACCGATTTTCTTTTGTTTCTTCCTGCAGATGACCAAAATGTTGGATCTGCTGGAGGACTTCCTTGAGAACGAAGGGTACAAATATGAGAGGATCGACGGAGGAATCACAGGAGGGATGAGACAAGAAGCTATCGACCGTTTTAACGGTGAGTTCGTCTCTTTTTGTTGCAGCTTTTTCTTTAAGAATCTTTAAATTCTGTCCTCAAAAATACCATTTTTCTTTGGTTGTTTATTGTTTTGATCTTTGTCCCTCAGCACCGGGTGCTCAACAGTTCGCCTTCCTGCTGTCGACGAGAGCCGGAGGTTTGGGCATCAATCTGGCCACAGCCGACACCGTCATCATTTACGACTCTGACTGGAATCCTCACAACGACATCCAGGTACCAAACCATCAACCATTTTATAATTTAAAAAAAATGGTTAAAACGTGTTTTATTTAAGCTTTTTTCCCTTTTGTTCAGGCCTTCAGCAGAGCTCATCGTATCGGTCAAAACAGAAAAGTGATGATTTATCGATTCGTCACTAAAGCCTCAGTGGAGGAGAGGATTACTCAGGTAAATGTTTGAGTTTTCACTTCCTCCTAAAGAAATAACTCAGATCTGAGTTTACTTTGTTTTATTAAAACAAAAAAACAGAATTAAACAGCTTCACTTTTATATTTTTAACTCAGTTTTTGTCATCACTGCATTTCTGCTTCAGGTTGCCAAAAAGAAGATGATGCTGACTCACCTGGTGGTCCGACCTGGTCTCGGATCCAAGACCGGCTCCATGTCCAAACAGGAGCTGGACGACATCCTCAAGTTTGGAACCGAAGCGCTCTTCAAGGACGAGGGAGAAGGTGAGGGAGTGTTCTGAAGTCAAACTGAGAAGCCTGAAAAGGAAAAGAACTGCAACATGTTTGTGCTTCATCAGGTGAGAACAAAGAGGAGGACAGCAGCATCATTCACTACGACGACAAAGCCATCGACCGGCTGCTGGACAGGAACCAGGACGCCACAGACGACACGGATCTGCAGAGCATGAACGAGTACCTGAGCTCCTTCAAAGTGGCCCAGTATGTGGTGAAAGACGAGGAGGAGGAGGTGAGAYCCGTGGGACCGGCCGCAGAAGGTTAATCGCCTCGTTTCCTGTTCTCTAACTGTTCCTCCGTCACTCAGGAGGAAGAGGTGCAGCGGGAGATCATCAAGCAGGAAGAGAGCGTYGATCCCGATTACTGGGAGAAGCTGCTGCGGCATCATTACGAGCAGCAGCAGGAGGATCTGGCTCGAAACCTGGGCAAAGGGAAACGAATCCGCAAGCAGGTCAACTACAATGATGGTTCACAGGAAGACAGAGGTAGAGACAAGGATCAGTTTCACATCAGTGTTTGTCACCGACAAGCTACTGCATGAAAATAATAAATAACCTTCTGTTTTKACAGCTGATTGGCAGGATGACCAATCCGACGGCCAATCAGATTACTCCGTGGCTTCTGAGGAGGCTGACGAGGACTTTGATGAAAGATCAGAAGGTAAGAGTTTGGTCTTTATGTTTAACCTCTTCAGCCCCATGCAMATGCAAAACAGCATTTCCCMTTTTCTATATCTTTTAACTTCTGTTAACTTAAGATCTGTCAGTTGAACATTGACATGTTTGGTATCAATATAAACCTAAGAATCTTATCTGTATTTACATCCACCAAACACAGTTCAAACGTTAAGCAGTTGAATCAGAAAGTAAACAAACTGTACAAAATGGGATTGTTGCAAATCTGTAAATACATTACAACAAATCTGTAAATACTTTACAACACATCTGTAAATACTTTACAACACATCTGTAAATACATTACAGCAAATCTGTAAATACGTTACAACAAATCTGTAAATACTTTACAACAAATCTGTAAATATGTTACAACAAATCTGTAAATACATTAGAACAAATCTAATTTCTCATTATTTCATATAATATATGATGACAAATAAATATTTGGATAATTTTTCTAAAGAAGAAACATTCAATAGCAAGTCTTTTCAGGCAGGTAAGAAAAAATAAATAACTTTTGCAATTAACAACTTAACATTTATTAACATTTATTAATGGTACCATGGTCTGTCCTGTGCAGAATGACAAAAGTTTCTTTACTAAAACCTCTGTAACTTTGCTCCAGTTAAGTGTAACAGCGTGAATCTTTGCACAGGTTATATCCACAAGTAGATTTATGGTTTCCAAGAGTTTTTAGCCTGATTCATTGTGGTTTTACTGTCTAATGAAAAAATTATTCAGAGAGGAGGGAATTTTTTTTAAATTATGCTCCATCCTTAGTATCTCTAAAACCACAGCAGCTGTTTTAATAATAAATGCTGAGATACACTCAGTTACATTTCAGAAAGGGATTTCGAGCAAAAACAAGAAAACCCCTTGGGGCTGAAGAGGTTAAGTTTCTGTCTTTTTGTAACTTCACTAACTGACATCTGTGTCTTTTTGTTTGTTCACTCTGCAGCCAACTCTCGCAGGCCGAACAGGAAGGGCCTGAGGAATGACAAAGACAAACCACTGCCCCCCCTGCTGGCCAGGGTGGGAGGCAACATTGAGGTGAGCTGCTGGCTAAATAATCAGAATTAAAAAAAAAAAGATTTGTATCAGAAACATTATGTTTGATTATTTTGTTGTTTCTCAGGTGTTGGGTTTCAACTCCCGGCAGAGGAAGGCCTTCCTGAATGCAGTGATGCGTTACGGGATGCCTCCTCAGGACGCCTTCACCACCCAGTGGCTGGTCCGGGACCTGCGAGGGAAGTCCGAGAAAGAGTTCAAGTAAATGTTGCCTCTTCGTCTCTGCCTAAAAAAACTTTTCCTGGTGTTATACCCACATTCACCTTCTCGTCCGTATTCTTTCAGGGCCTACGTCTCTTTGTTTATGCGTCACCTGTGTGAACCTGGAGCCGACGGGGCGGAAACCTTCGCAGACGGCGTCCCCAGAGAGGGGTTATCACGGCAACACGTCCTCACACGCATCGGCGTCATGTCTCTTATACGTAAAAAGGTACCACTTATTTTATTTTATTGTTTTTGTTTTTTACTCCTTGTTTGTTCCGACTAACTGGACTGTCTTCGTTTTCTTCCAGGTCCAGGAGTTCGAACACGTGAACGGTCAGTGGTCGATGCCCTGGATGGCCGACCTGGAGGAGAGCAAGAGGAACGCAGCTCAGCCCGACTCGCCCGGGAAAACCCCGTCCACCGGGACCCCCGCCGACACGCAGCCCAACACCCCCGCCCCAGGTGGGTTTCACAGAAACACTCTGAACGTCCTCGCGGCGATGCAGCCGGCTGAGTTTTCTCTCTCTTCGCAGCCGACGACTCCACAAAGAACGACGAGGCGTCGAAGGATGGAGAGAAGGAGGTGAAGAAGGAGGCGGAGGCGGAGAAGAACGGCAAAGTGCCCGTCAAATCCAACAATGAGGTGAAAACAGGATTTATTGTTTGAATGTGAACAAAAAAAAGGTGGATCCATAACTGATTTCTTTGTGACGATCGCAGGTCATCGCCATCCCGGACGACGATAACAGTCCGTCCACCAAGCAGGACAAGACAAACGGGGRGGAGCCGATGGAGACGGACAAACCGAGCAACGGGGAGGCGGAGAGCGTGAAGGAGAAGGACGGCGAGAAGGAGGTAGAGAACGAGAAGACTTCAGAGGACGGAGAGGAAAACAAGTCGACGTCAGAGACAAAGATGGAGGGGTCAGAGGTCAAACCGGAGGACTCTGAGGTCAAAGGTAGAACTGGTTTAATTGTTTTAGTAGTTTTAAGTAAATTTCTAGGTTTTTTTTTTTTTAGATTTGACAGATTTTATTTGTTCTGCAGCAGAAGAAAAGAAGGAAGAGAAAACAGAAAAGATGGACACAACTCCTCCTGCAGATGAAAAGAAAGGTAGAAGCTTTTCTCTTAAACGTTCCGGTCGTTGCTCCGGTGTGCCGTAGTGACTCCTCCTCTGTGGCGTCTCTGCAGACTTGAAGGAGGAGAAAGATGCTCAGAAGCCAGAGGAGGCCACCAAGCTGCAGAACGGCGACAGCAGCAAGGAGGGCGCAGCGGCGGCCGCCACGGCGAGCAGCATCAGCGAGGAGAAGAAGAAGGCCAAAACTCGCTTCATGTTCAACATCGCAGACGGAGGATTCACAGGTTCAAACGCACGCTCTCTGACACACAAACTGAATGTTTTAGTTGTGTTGAGATCATACTCTGACACACAAACTGAATGTTTTAGTAGTGTTGAGATCACTGACGTCGGCTGGTTTCTCCTCAGAGCTGCACTCGTTGTGGCAGAACGAGGAGCGAGCTGCGACGGTTACGAAGAAAACCAACGAGATCTGGCACCGCCGGCACGACTACTGGCTGTTGGCCGGCATCATACAGTATCCTGTCCTCATCTGAGCAAACACACACTCTTTTGTCTTAAATAGGGCTGCGCCTAACTGTTATTTTCATAATCAGTTAATCTATTATTCTTTTGATTAATCAGTTAGTTGATTAGTCACTGTTTCTGTCACAAGGTGAGCACAACTCCTGTTCATCACCTGATCACACTTAAAACATGACCTATAAAACTTAAGTTTAAAAACTTAATCACATATATTTCTAACATTAATACAACTAATTATAAAAATAAATGAAATACAAATTAAAACTAACAACTAATGTACAAATAACTCAAAGTAGCATAAAAAGTACCAAAGTACCAAAAAAAAAAAAAAA